TCCCAAGGAGTGACAAACGCAAAGGAGCAGCAGGGAGTGGTCCTGCTCGTCCAGCGCTGCATCGCCTCAAAAAGATGCTCTGGGGACAGTTTAACGTGATGATACGCTGCCGGGAAATGTTTTTCTCCACCTCTTCTGTCCTGAGTGGAGAGCACTGACTTACTGTGTAATGTGGCAGATGAGCTCACTGAGAAATCACTGGCCCAAAGAAAATGAGGCCCACTGCCTGTGACTTTGGTCCTCATGCTCTGCTAATTGGCACTTCTCATGTAACATGTCAGAGAGAAAGATGGCAAGATGTTGACCTGTTCACTGATTCGATTGGTGCTCACCGTGCAGTCAATCAGTTGGTGACAAAACAACAGCGGTGAAAGCTGCATGATGGGCACGTGCAGAGTTTGTTCAGTAACATGTATGTTCTTTTTCCAGTTGTCATGTTACACGAGAAGTGCTCTGCGAAATTAAGATTACCATCAATATTTTAGAAAAATGTATTTTAGTTGCATTTCTCTGGCATAATCCAAACACGTGCAGTTGGTGCAGATAGGTTAACTGGTAACTCTAAACTGCACATAGGGATAGGCTCCACCCCCCCGTGACGCACATAAGGATCACGGGAGGTGGTGAAAATAAATGGTAATTCCAGGAGGTGAAACTCTTTGGTCAGTTTGTATTTGGATAAAATAGTGAGTGAAATTATTTGTCTGCACCTTGTGTTTGTACCCAAAATCAGACACTCGAGGCAGGAACGGCCGTTTATTTAGGCTGCACGAAAAATACAAACAAAAGGCAGAAGAACAAGGACCAGAACCAACCTGAGAACTGAAATACTAAACACTACGGACGTAGAACCTTAAGCATCGAAAAACCTGAACATGACCCGAAATGAACAGACGACCAGCTCTTACTCTTACTTATTTCCCCTTTGTTTTCTCGTAACTTTTAAATTAAGTCTTAGAGATGTCTCTCTTATGTGCAATACTGTCCGATGCAACATAGTATGTTATTCTGTTTTAGCTCATTCTTTTCTATTGTTTTTCTTAATTTTTGCTGCTTGTAACTTTTTTTCGTGACCCAAATAATTTCCCACAATAAAACCTTACACTACACTACACTACGCTACACTACGCTACGCTACACTACACATGAGGGTCATTAGAAGAAGCGGAAACAGACGGGAACACAGCTGGGACGAATCAGACATAATGACACAGGGGAAGCAAAACTAAACCCCCTGAACCTGGGACGAGCGACTGTCAAAATAAAACAGGAAACACACTAAGATGCAGGCTAAGACACGCGGGCTTGACCCAGGGACCGGGGGGAAGAAACTGAGGAAGGGAGACACACACAAAGGACGAGGAGACGGAGACACAGATAAGACTACAGACTCACACAAGCACCACAGGGATGAGACAAGGACACGAGAGGAATTTCACATACAGGAAACCATGAACTGGAAATATAAGCAAACTCATTAAAATCTCAAGAACACAATGAACTCAAAATGCTGACAGTTTCCCTGCCATCAAGTTTGTTAGCATCCACTGCAATGAAAGCAGTATTTAGCATTTTAGAGAACACACCTAGTGTATTGACACTGTAGATAAACTTTTAAGTGGTACCTTTTCCTCAGGGGGGTCATCACACCAGACTAGTAAAAATGTTTGTCAGGCGTCCTGGTGCTGGGATTAGCGCTAGAGTTCGCTGGCTCGTGATGAATTTGTCCTGTTTGTGAGTCTCCTTCACGTCTTATTTGGGTTTTGTCCCTCTGTTGTGCAGCCAAGCAGTGACAAACCCTTTCTCCTAATTGTGAATTGGGGACCTTCCTTGTGCCAGCAGAATCGAATATTCACGACAGTATGGAAACATGAGCTTAGTCACAACACGTTGACTTCATTCCTGCTGTGAACTCCTGCAGACGTGATGCACTCTCCTGTCCACTTTTTGTTTTCGCCTGGATCCAGACGTGAGAGTCAGACCGGAACAATTTGACAGTTTTGTCCGTGTCAGAATATTTTTGTTGTTTGAAGTGAACTGCTTAAATATGCATGTGGCACCTGTTCAGATGGATTTATTTTAAGTAACTGGACCCAGTGGCTTCCATTGCTCAGTGTGTTTCAGCACACAGCGATCGTTTATATATAGATATTTAGGAAAACTGTGCAAAACGCTTTAATTACTCTCCAAATATTGCACCTTCTCCTCGTTTTTCTCCTCCCTGCCTCGATGCCACAGGAGAGGAGGAGATGCTGTGTAGTCGGTACTGTGATCATAACACGTTGGTGTTGGTGGTGATGCGGGGCTAATTATATTTACCACAAAACATTCAGTGGTTGTGGAAAATCACCATTCATATTTACACTCACGGCCACTTCGTTAGTTACACCTTGCTAATACTTGCATTTCACCTTCAGTACGTCCTTAATCCTTCATGGCAAGGATTCAACAAGGTGCTCAAAACATTCCTCAGAGAATCTGGACGATATTGACGTGCTAGCATCAGCCAGATGCTGCTCCAGATCTGCAGATCCCTCTATCCCATCCCAAAGGTGCCGAACGTCATCATGTTCAAGATACCAGCTTGAGATAATTTGAGCTTTGTGACGCGGTGCATTACAACCATGTTAGATGGTACATCATAAAGGGATGGACACAGTCAATACTCCATACAGGCCGTGTCCTTTAACAATTCTCAGTTGGGGTCTAAGGGGTCCAAAATATGCTAAGAAAACATCCCTGACATTATATCTAAAGGCCGGAACCATCGATACGAGGCAGAGCGGCTGAATGCTTTCTTGTTGTTTACTCCAAAACTGTGAGCCTACATGTCACAGTAGAAATCAAGACTCATGAAATCAGGCACAATTTTCCAAACCTCTGCTGCCCAGTTTTGGTGAGCCAGCTGTTTCCTGGTCTTTGCTGACAGGAGTGGCCCCTGGTACAGTGCCGTGCTGCTGTAGCCTCTTGATGTGTTGTGCACTCAGAGATGAATGCACAACACATCAAACCACATTATTGTTAATAAGTGGTTTTTGAGTTGCTGTTTCCTTCCTATTAAGCCAAAAACAGCCGGCCCCGTTCGGCCTTGACGTCTGGCATCAATAAAACATTTTCACCCAGAGAGCTGCTGCTCGCTGGATATCTTTTTGTTTTGAACTGCTCCCTATAAACCCAGAGATGTTTTTGTTGGATCAGCAGATCAACAGTTTCTCAAATACTCAGACCAGCACCAATCATGCCATGTTCAAAGTCACTGAAATCACCTTTCTTCCTCCTTCTGATGCTCAGTCTGACCTTCAGCATGTTGTTTCGATCATGTCTACATGCCCAAAGGCACTGAGTTGATGCCGTGTGATTGGCTAATTAGATATTTGGGTAAATAAGCAGTTGAGGACATGTGTAGTGAAGTGGACAGTGAGTGTATGTTTTAGGAGTAAAAAAGACCCACTGTAGGAGGAGAAACGGGCACCTCTGAGTAATATTTACAGTAGATTTCTTGAATAAGGATTCGTTCACATTTTAGACAAATGGATGTATTTTAAATATTGGTGGTAAGTGTCCCTTAAATCTTCCCCATGATCCAATCTTCTTCATTTTCACACATTCATTCTGGTCACCATCACAACTACGTAAACGGATCTTTTTTGCCATCTACAAATATGTTTGTAGTATCTAGTATACAAGTTTGAAAATGCAGAATGATTCTCATTAATATCAAAAGAATGACCACAGTAATTAAGTGCACCGAGTTGGCTTTGTTCAGCAGAGGAAGTGTGCTTGCTGCAGCTGCTTCCATTCACAGGTGACCGTCACTGGCTCATTCATCTGCCGCTCAGTTTCCAGCCAAATAATAATGTCCGATTAAATGTTTTGCATGTGAACACCGGGGGCTTGACAATCTCACACTTCTCACTATTATGACCCAATCAAAGTGCACGGGACGTCAGAACATCAAAATCCTCCTTCAAAGCACCAATACATGCATGCATCGCCAAAGTCAATTTGTGTCACGCGTGGCATCATGTCATATATTCAACATTAAATTAATTGCGTAACATGTATGCATAAGTGGGACAAGACTATAATGACTTTAAATTAAAGGAAAATGGGTGGTGGACTGTCACAGTGTCCTCTGCTAACTGTAGCTCTGCAGCTATCAAGCAGTCCTGCAAAGTCTTCATGCATTAATATTGTAAAACGTAACTGTCTTTGCTATTCACGCCTCATGAGGATAAGTGAACATGGATATAATTTAAACAGGAAATGCATTTGTGCATTTTATATATCTCACACACCTGCAGATACGGAGGAGATGCGATGCCTTTGTCTGAACAAACATGCATATCTGCAGATGATAATGGTGTTGACTGCTAAAATAGAAAGCTTGTGTGCACAAGTCTCACTTCACTGTTTCATTCAGATTCAAATCGATAGAAAACATTAGTCAGGCTGCCTGTGGAGAGTCCTTCACCAGCCTGCTTCACTGACTCATTCGCTTCTCTTTACATTACTTCCGAGGCTGCAGGAAACCAAGACGGGTTGAATACTAAACGACTTTGTCACGTGCTCAGTGCTTGGTTTCTCCGGAGCTCTTTACAGGAAATCATTCCCATGAAGAGTTGAGTTTTTATCTATCTAAATACAGACACAACATGCATAAGCACATTTCCATATCAAGTCATAATCTCTCTTTTATTGACTAGTAGCGGCTGTGCAGGCTGAAGGCATCATCATATCCAAAGCGCGATGTTTTTGTTTCTTGCACAGATCAAAACTAAGATAACAAGCTGCTCCCTCCTATTATTCATATTATTCATATTTACCTGGTCTTGCAATGCACCGGCACAGTGCTCGCAGAGCTCTTTGATTACAGACGTTCATGGAGGGAGTCGTGAGGAATAACCTGTTTCACTCTGAGTCGGATTTAGAGCTGAGATTTACCTTAAATTTCAGATTTCCGATTCCTTAAAAGTGTTGTTTGTCCCCCTGCACCTCAGGTGAATGAGATTTACCATGACGAGTCTCTGGGAGTCCACATCAACGTGGTGCTGGTCAGGATGATTATGCTGGGGTATGCCAAGGTGAGTCCCCGCGTCCTTTTTTTAAATTCTTAAACTTCTTTTTGCAGGTGACATTCCCTTTTATGACAGAGGAGTGAAATAGAGATGAAAATGTGTGCAGGCTGCAGAGGTCACCTAGTCTAACTCACTTTTACACACAGTGTCAAAACGCACATTTCCATTTGCTGGCTGTAATCAGCAGTGGCACTTAGGTGATTTATGTTCACCACGACTCCTTCAGCTCGCTATCCTCTCGTTTTCAGCCCAGGCTTCCACATACTATTCCTGCTTCACAGTCTGAGTAATTACAGGCTGCTGCCAGAGTACCAACATGTTCATTTGCATCTGCATTTCTCTCTCCTTTTTCCTCTCAGTCCATCAGCCTCATTGAGAGAGGCAACCCATCGCGGAGCCTGGAGAACGTGTGCCGCTGGGCCTTTGTGCAGCAGAAAGGCGATCCCGATCACGCCGAACACCACGACCACGCAATTTTCCTCACTCGCCAAGGCTTCGGCCCCACAGGGATGCAGGGTAAGGCCCCGGAGGGAGATTACCCGTCACGATACACACCAGTCAGCTTTCTGTGTTGCAAAATGTGCAACTTGTCAGTGAGAGCAGAAAAAAAAGTTTTGAAGCGTTCGTTCTTCAAATTCAACATTTAGGAAACACGTCTTACGTGTGAATTCACTCCAGATTCTCTCTGATTACATTTTAAATGCAACTATAAAAAATGTTTGTGCCCCAGTTGCTTGAGTTAAATTGACTGAAATGATTCACAAAGAGGCACCAAGAAGAGAAGACAATGAAAAGCCTCGTTATTACTGCTATGACGCACAGAAAGGGTGGACTCTCCCTTTGTGCTACTTTTTTGGCACTTTTACTCTTGTTGCTGAGGCTGATTTGAAAGACTGGAGGGGGAAAGCAATTTCCAGTGTCTGCCAGATATCGACTTCTCCTCCCTCCTTTTATTTTCTTATACAGCAGCCAAACTTCAGCAGTGAAAGCAGCCAAATGCCCAAAGTCAGCACTATTAAAAGCCTCCACTTGCTGTATTCTTCGTTTATTTGCTACAGCAGCTGCAGCAGACGTTTTATTTGCAAGTGAATGCAACGGCAGAGACATTTGGTCTGCGCTTGATTGTGGAAATGTGTTATAGATTCATATGTAAGGACGGCTCTCTTTAATGGTTTCACTGATTCTGTCAGTCAGGTGCTGATCACAGCACACTGCACGCTCAGGTCAGATGCTCTGTTTCGTCCTTCTGCATCCTGATGTGCTCCCATCTTTACTGTCCGTGTATTTTGCTTTTCGTATTCGTTTGTACGCTGTTATGTCAGGCTGCTGATTTAGCAGCTGTTTCTTGGTCAGGACATGCTCACAAAAGACATTTTAAATCTCAACACTTTCCTGGTCGAACAAAGTTAAATCTATTTGCACCTTTTATGGTGCTGGAAGAAAGGCTGGTGCCAACCCAGCTTTCCAGTTGTAGGGAGAGACGGCGTTGTTAGGCGAGTGGAGGCGATCTTAGTGCTGTTAGGTCTTGGAGTAGCTCTTTGAGGATGAGCTGCAGGAGGCGTGTCACGGGAAGTCCATCGATACATCGATGTGGAGCCGATGGTAGCGAAGCTTTGCAGGTTAAAATCCCACACATCTAAGTAGAATAGAAGTGAATTAAATATACACTTGCTACACTAGGCTACAAATCACACATGAAATTATTATTTTTCATCTTTTCTGACTATTTTTTCACTAGCTTTGCATTTGACTAGAGTCCGTGTCAGTACTGGTGCATGAGGCGATACCTGCACCCAGAGGCTGCACAGGTCGTCCAAAGGGAGCAAAGAGTGAAGACAGAGGAGACGATCCAACCAAAGCGTGCTGTTGCTCACTGGGAAACAGTTATTGATAAGCTGTGTTTTATGTTCAGGCCAAAGATTTATCCATTATATTGGAACAAGCATTAGACTAAATAAAAAACTCGCACTTAAACAACTTTGTCCCTGTATAGTATTTTTGTTATTGCTCTTTTTGTTGGTCTTGCAGTGTGTGGGGTATGCCCACAGTGTGACAGGAAGCTGTCTCCCTCACAGGGATGAGAGCTCGTGCTGTTAACAGCAGGCGGTCTCTGTTGGTGCAGGCTGTCCGATCAGGCCTCCCCGACTCGATTGTTGCTGTTTATTTGAGTTCTTCTCTCTGTAGCAGGAAGCTGT